ATCTATTATCTATTACTTCAAATATTTAGCAATATCAGGTAAATTAACTTGCAAAATAAAAATAACTTTTTTCAATGAAACTTTAGAAATCCAACTGAAATATCAATTTCTTTCTTCCAATTAAATTGTAACTTCAAAAAATGAACAATATTATTAACCAAACGAAAGAGGTATTTTTCTTATTTTCTATAATTTAATTGAAAATAAATCATGTTTATACAATATTATCATGTTATGTATTCCTAAGTAGGTTAGAGAGTATAATGAAATTGAAAATTGTTTTAAATTCCTTTTAATTCGGCTGTTTTCACAGCTGAGTAAACCATCTTTCACCTCTAGACGCTCCGTACATTCCATGTTATCAATAATTTTGGCTATTCTTTCTATGCTCTCGCTTACATTATATCGTTATAGTCAAGTGTACAAGAACAAAGTTATATGATATCTGTTACTTCGCATATCAAACCTATTGTTCAATTTCGATTTAAAGTCGTTTACCGATTTAATCGGCTTAAACAATACCCGATTGATATAGTGCATTGTCTGATTGAACCAGAGCAATCTATTTAATAGCAAAACTAACTTTCAAATAATCTGTGAATTGTAAATAAATAAACTTTTTATTTAAATAATAGTCTTACAATTAATCATTTTTGCCTTACATATATACAATATAATAAAAGATAAACAAATTAATGCAAATAATGATACAATGTTAAAATAGAATTATACAGTACAGAGTTTCCATACATATTTAATATATAAATTCGTGTTAATTCTGGAACAACAGTATATAAATATATCGGTTCTCCATTTCTCAACATGGAGACAACATGGATGTATAAAGTAAATATCTTTATTGGAAAGTTTAAAAATTGAATTAAAATGTTAGGTTGAAAGACAAACCTCATAACTTCTATTCGTTTGAGGGAACTTATTTGCAGCCCATTGGAAACAATTGCTGATATTCCAACAGCAAAGCATGTTTAGCAATTCTAATTGTATTTTGACTAATACCAGTAACATCGCTAACATCCTTCAGTTTGAACTTATGACTTTTAGTCTAAAATAGTACAATTAGTTATTATATATAAGACTGTTAATTTCAAAGTACAATTCTATTATTACCTGACAGGCCAAGATAATGGAAGCGGCGGCAATTGAAGTTGGGGATTTATTGATTGCAATTTCGTTGCTATTTGCTTGTGTTAATATACGTATTGCAGCATTTGTAACCGATTCGGGCAAACCTTTTTTAATGTAAAAAAAATTTTAAATGATTTACAACTTACCTTTATATGCGATTTGAAAATATACCTAGCTTCGAACAAAATCTTGACATGCAATCATCACTGATTGTTGCATCAACTATCAAATCCATGCGTCTTACAATAAATTTGGACCACAGCTCTATAGTGTTCGGATTCGCATTAGTAACAGCACAAATTTCCTTATAAGTACGCGGTGCTCCTTCTTGACGACAAGCAATTAGTACACAGGCAGCTGCTTTAGCGGAAACTGAATTGTTCATACAATTGGGTTTATGAATCTGAAATTGATACACAGATATTATGTGCCGTCAATATTAACACTGATCACATACAATGTATTTTTCTTTTAGTTCATTAAAAATGTTCGCACTCTTAAAAAATTATATTCTTTTATGAGAATAAAACAATTCTTCAAAGCTCAACCGATAAGGTGAGAGACGATATATATCATATGATCACTAAAAAAACAAGTCATTATTCATACAAAAAGTTCCAAAAGTTTATGGTTATAAATTAATAAAAATAACATATGTTTGTCGGGGATTTTTACGTAACTCCCTGTCATATGTAGTGTTGGTTATTCCCTAATTATTTACTTACCTTTTGATATAAAAGTTTAGCCCGATCGACAATTGATGGTGCTAAATTAATATGATCTCCCATTACAAAAATTTCGTTAAGCCCTCTAATTAGCCCCCGTTCTGAACTATTTTTTAATTGTTTAGTTTCGCCGTTATTGGGTAATATTTGGTTTGACGAAGAGCTGCTACAAATTACATTAGACGTCGTCAGGTCTAGTGCATTTAATTGCCGATTTTCATTATAAATAATGTTATTCCTTCTATGATTTTCTCCTCCTTCAATAGATGTACGCCACTCGCAGCCAACAACCAATCCGCAACCTGCACATATGCTGAAGTCTGAATAAACAGTTTCATCAATTGAAGCGTTTTTATGATAAATGCAATTATTTCGGTTGCTAATATTCAGTAAATAAATAATAAATTTATAAAATATAAGTTTCAATAATTTTGGGTTTAAATAAAAATCACAAACAACAGCACTTACTCTGAACAGTCTTCCATTATGTGTGTCCGTGTACACCACCTTACTCATCGACGTCTGGTAGCGAAAAGAACGCCAGCTAGCATTTGCAGAGGAATTATGGAACAGAACATTGTTGCTATGTTGACATGGAACGAGTTGACATTGGTACTTTATTTTTATTTTGTTTGATAATGCTTATTAAATATATAAAAGAAGTAATAAATAGTAGTATATATTACATGATTAAATAATTTTTATATGATAATAGTATTGTTTCTACTTTATGCCGAAGAGAAAATATAATTCTTGTTCCATTCATAGCACATTAAAAAATTGCAAAAACAGTTTAAAAGCTTTAATCTTTAAATACTAAAGGTAAAAATTATAATTAAAAAACTTGACTCTTATAAATATCTTTACCAGATATGGCGAACACATATTTCTCTAAAATACAAAATTGAAAGCACATTCTCATCATATAGATTAACCAAAGTTCTCTTTTATAAAGATATCAAACTACCCAGTCATGATCAACAGCAAAAAATTAACAAATTAATTTAATAACAAAGAATTAACATTCTTTTGAAATAATTACTAATTTGTTCATTTAAGCGATTTTCATCATCATATAGGGTATTTATAAGACCAAACTTAACTAAAACTCTTTATTTATAACGATTTTCAGTATGTATTGGTAATGCTGAATTTTTATACGAAACAAAATAAAAATAGAAACAAATCTGAATCAGCTGTTTGATTTCATAAATATTAACTATTAATATTTTTATGCCCCGTTTATTATGCAAATAATTTTATATAATGATAATAATATGATATGATATGAACATAATTAATTCCAATAAGTTCATTCTTAATGATCATTTCCATGGTCTTGCAAGTTGTTTTGTGTGTGATCATTTAAAGAAGATTAATAATTATTTATTGTTACCGTCTATTTAGTATAAGAATTCCTTATAGTTTTAACATTGTAAATTACTTATTATCTATATAACTCATGAACTTATGAATTGCAAAATTTGTGTAAATAATGTTTACAGTTAGTTATTTAACGTTGTAAGAGAGAATTCTGTAGTGGTTTTTTATGTTGGGGTTTATTTCGAATTTAACACTCCGTATTGGTAATGGATAAGTTAATTTAACACTCCGTATTGGTAATGGATAAGTTTATTTATTTCTTATACTTAGTTATTATAAAATATTCTTAAAGTTAAGATTTATGTTTTTACGTCTTATTCACGTGCTGCTTTTTCTTTTTCCAAACTACTACTGGCGGGAACTGCGGCTATTGTTGTCTCCTTTGTGCCTTGTTGACAGTTCTTTTATTTATATTTTTTGGTGCTGCCACAGTACTCCCCCCTAAGTGATGGAGTCACTGAATTTGGTTGGAAAGCGAACGTTGCGTCCTGATTTTGTCAGGTTAGCTGTTGTATTTGGTCGCACAGACTGGTCGCCATTAACGTTGTTTGGAGTGTGGTATACCATTGATTTGTTGTGGATGTCAATGTCTGTATCGGGACATATGAAAGCAGCTTTAAGACGATCTATGCTAACTGTTTGTTCTTTGTTTTCGATCAGTATTCTAAACGTCTTGTCATTTCGCTCTAGTATTTGGTAAGGACCATCGTAAGGTTGCGTCAATGGTGGTTTTACCTTGTCATTTCGTATAAATACATGCGTGGCTGAGCTTAGAGCCGGTTGGATGTGGTAGCCTCGGTCTATATGATGCGATACCAACGTTGCCTTGACGCTCTGCATTTGTTCTCTTAGTTTGGTTATGAAATCGTGTTGATTTATATTTCTGTGGCTAGGGTTGCTTACTATTTCGCCCGGTAAACGTAGAGTTTGGCCATATAGCATTTCAGCAGCAGAAGCTCCAATGTCTGGTTTAAAAGTCGTGCGTAGACCTAACAATACTATTGGTAAAACTTCTGTCCAAGAAGTTGTTTGGTGGCACATTAAGGCTGCTTTTAATGTGCGGTGAAATCGTTCCACCATTCCGTTACTTTGAGGATGGTAACTCGTAGTTCGTAAGTGTTTGCAACCGATAACTTCAGCTAGTTGGTTGAACAATGAAGATTCAAATTGTCTTCCTTGGTCTGTTGTGATACGTAAGGGTACGCCAAAACGTGCGATCCATTGAGTAATCAGTGCGTTTGCGATGGTTTCCGCTGTTTGATCTGGGATCGGAATTGCTTCTGGCCATCGGCTGAAACGGTCGATGATGGTTAATATATATGTGCAGTTGTTTGATGGTGGTAGCGGGCCGACGATATCTATGTTTATATGTTCGAATCTGTGTTCAGCGAGTTCATATTGACAAATAGGTGAACGGTTGTGACGTTGCACTTTAGAACGTTGGCATGGGATACATTGTCGGGTCCAGTTTCTGATATCAGCATTTATAGAAGGCCAGAAAAATTTTTCAGCTATCATTTTTGTTGTGCCCCGAATGCTGGGATGAGACAACCCATGCGTAGCTTTAAAGATATGTAGCCGGTATTTCTGCGGAATGTAAGGACGAATTCGCCCAGTTGAAACTTCGCAATAAATTTTATCTGATATTGTTGGTAAAGATAAAAGTTTGATTTCGATGGAATTGTTGTTTTTGATATCTTGTAGTTGTGGGCAACATCGTTGTAATCCAATTATACAATCGTAGTCGATTTTTGGGATGCTAATACTATCTATCCGCGAGAGAAAATCTGCTGGGATGTTGTCTTTTCCGCTGACATGAACGATATTCGTTGTAAATTGACCTATATAATCAAGCTGTCGGACTTGACGTGGTGAAGCCTTGTCGGACTTTTGCTGGAATGCGAACGTGAGTGGCTTGTGGTCAGTTATTAATACGAATTCACGACCTTCTAACATATGTCGAAAATGTTTTATGCCCTGATATGCGGCTAACAACTCACGATCGTATGTGCTGTATCGTTTTTGTGTATCTGTTAATCGTTTAGAGAAAAAACCGAGTGGTTGGAACGTGCTGTCTGTCACTTGATGAAGAACTGCGCCGAGAGCTTTATCCGAGGCGTCTACTTGTAATGCAAGCGTAGCAGTTTTTGACGGATGAACAAGTAGTGTCGAGTTTGTTAGTTCATCTTTACATTTTTGGAAGATTGTTTTGTTCACTTCAGTCCAGCATAACGGTGTGTTGTCGTTCTTCTTGTTTCCTTTTATCATTTGTTGAAGTGCAGTTTGAGAATCTACAGCGTTTGGTACGAACCTGCGATAAAAGTTAAGTAATGCTAGAAATCTTCTTAATTCTTTTGTTTTTGTTGGAAGCGGGTACTCGCTGATGCTCTTCACTCGATCTGGTAGAGGTTGAATGCCCTTTTCACTGATGAGATAACCAAGAAATTTTACTGTGTTTTGAGCAAAAACGCATTTTGATACGTTTATTATTAAACCATGTTTTCTGAATCGTTCGAATACTTGTTGCAAGTGTTGCCTGTGCTCTTCCTCGTTTGCTGATGCAATAATGACGTCGTCAATATAGGCAAAGGCGAATTCGAGATCTCGTAATACTTCGTGAATGAAGCGTTGAAATGTTTGACCTGCATTGCAAAGTCCGAATGTCATGTTAGTAAATTCAAATAATCCAAATGGAGTTATGATCGCCGTTTTTGGAATATCCCCCGGTTCAACTGGTATCTGGTGATATGCCTTAATCAGGTCGATGGTTGAAAAAACTTTTTGGTTATATAACATGTGTGCAAAATCATGTATGTGAGGAACTGGGTAACGATCTGGGATGGTGATTGCATTTAAGCGACGGTAATCTCCGCAAGGTCTCCAACTACCGTCTGGTATTTTTACCATATGTAAGGGGCTAGCCCAATTGCTGCTTGATGGACGGCATATTCCGGCTGTGACTAAGTTTTGGAATTCTTCTTTTTGCTGCTGCTAGCTTGTCTGGAGGTAACCTACGTGGTCTCTCACATATTGGTGGACCTTTTGTTAATATGTGGTGAGTGACTTTTGTCACCTGGCGATTTGTCGGTGTTGGTTTAGTGATGTCGATGTATTCTTTTAGTAGATCTGCAATTTTGCAAGATGTGTTCACAGTTGATATTTTTTGCGCATTTACCTTACGTTCACTTGCGGCTGAGAAAATCTTTGTTGATGTGTCGATCAATCGTTTCATTTTTATGTCTACTATTAATCCGAAATGATTTAAAAAATCTGCACCGATGATTGAAGTGTTTACATCTGCGATAATAAATGGCCATGTGAAATTTCTTCGTAAGCCAAGAGCTAGAGTTATCTCTATTTCTCCAAATGTTTTGATCATAGAACCATTTGCTGCGTAGAGTATTCTTTCGTTCTTATTGTTTGTATTTGAATTTTTTTGTTTGGCGGCAATAAGTGAAACATCTGCACCCGTGTCTATTAGGAATGATTTTTTTGTCTTATTGTCATAGACGAACAGTCTTGTAGATGTTTCGTTTACAACTTCCTCTGCCGCCGTAGACGAAGTCGGTTTTAGTTTTTTGTGCCATATGTGCATGGCTGCTTGCAATTTTTTGCATTTGACCCATATGTTCTATGATACCAACAATTTGTACTGGTCTTTTCTTCACTATCATCATGACATTGCCGGTTTCTGGATGTTGAACGTGAACGTTGATTTGTTCTTGAGCGGTGTTCGGTTGATAATTTCGAGACCATTTTCGTCAGTCTGGTCACTTCTCGTTGAAGTTGTTCGATTTGTGCATCACGTTGAATATGAGCTGCTGCAGGGACGTTAGCTGCATTGACGTAAGTTCCTTGCATTGTTGAGTTTATACGGATTGTTTCGGTTATGTTGTCTGCCAATTCCGCCATCTTAGGTAGTTCCACTTGAATTGTGGCTAGACATGTCTGTACTTCTACAGGAAGACGTTGTAACCATAACCCTTTCAGTAATTGTTCGTCTTGTTTGCTTCCACTAATACGTTGCAATTCGCTTAAAAGATGGGATGGCTTTTTATCCCCAAGCTGTAAACCACTAACTAATTTTTGTATGCGTTTTTTTTCACTATCCGCAAAGTTTTTTATTATTGCTTGCTTGATAGCTTCGTACTTCTGAGTTGCTGGTGGATTCTGTATTGTGTTATAAATTTGTTCTAACAGCGATCCATCCAATGCTGCGATAACTGTGCCAAACTTTTGAGTATCGCCCTTTATGTTGTTGACTTGGAACCAGTAGTCCAACTGAATAAACCAAAGGTCAATGTTGTTTTTTATTAATGTTGGCATCGGCAGCTTTATTGCAGTGATTGTTGCGTTTTCATTGATTGGGTTAGTGTCTTCGGTTATCTTTTGCTCTTGAGTAGCCATTTTTTTTTTATATATTCGACGTCGGCTTGGTCACCAATGTAGTGGTTTGTTATGTTGGGGTTTATTTCGA